AAAAAATCCAATGTCAATGACATAAACTTTTGATTTGTTTAAAATATTATACTAGAAATGCTCAAAAGTCGTTTATGTGATTCATTATAGTTTAATTAATATTACTAATTATTAATTATACTATAAATTTGAGCAGCTAAAAATATTCTGGTAGGACAAAAAAAATTGACAAGTAATTTTTTCATGAATATTCGTGAGTAAAAATTTGTTTTTTCAAAAAAACCGTTAAGCACAAGTCCGTTACGAATTAATGCAAAATAACTATAAATATGAGATATGCATTTAGCACACATGGTTTGAGCATATATTTATGCTGTTTTTAATGTATTACATTATTTATAACACTTCACCAATTTAATTAAATTGACTTTTCTATTTATTAACGGCTTGACGTATTTTTGCATAACATATGAATGAAATTCATTGAATTTAAATTTGAAAATCCGTTTTAAATTCGTTACATATAGATGTGACTTGCATCTTTATGTTAAAAATCTACATGTTATGTAGTAGGAATGGTACGGATATATACAAAATCTTTAATTGAAGTAAGGACATTTTTAAAAGAGTTTCGTGTGTTTTCAGGTATGACTTAAATAATTTAAAACGAATAAAAAATTTTGATAGTCTTTACAAATTACCCATTTAAAACTGGTAATCTTTAAATAGTTGAACGAAACGAAGTGCAACGAATTCGAGTTTAACACACCTGTAACCTATAAACCTACTGTAATTTATGAACAATTGATCGAAGCGGAGTTAAACGAAGTGAAGACTAACACTTCATGTAATCTAAAAACTGTAACCTCCTCATTAAGTCTGATAAAGTCAGTGTTGTAATAAAACAAAAGCTCCAAATTTTGGAAGTTGAATCGATTTACAGATTTGATAAGACTAAAAAGTAGACAATAAAATACCAGAGGTCGAAGCGAACTTGGTTCGCCAAGTTCGCTTCGCTAAAAATTCAACTTGCCAAACTTTTTCGCTATAGCGAACTTTGAAAAATTAAGTTCGCTAATAGTTCGCTAAAGCGAAAAAAATAAAATTGAGTTCGCTATAGGTCGCTAAGGCGAAAAGAAAAAAAAAATTTCTCGCTACAGGTCGACTTTAGCAAGTTGAATTTTTAGCGAAGCGAACTCGCTAAAAACTCGCTTCGCTATGCTCGCTTCGACCTCTGTAAAATACTATAAAAAAAAACTTTTTTAAAAAAGCACGCTTTTATTTCCGATTCCAGTGCACTAAAAATGAGAAAATAATTTTTTTCTGAGAACTCAAATTTGATACAAAATTTTATGACTAAAAGTAAAAGCGTGGAGCGTTTTTATCGTTCAAATCACATTTGAACAATTGTTACTCACTTTAATTAATTATTTTAAATTATGTTAATTAAAATGTATAAAATTTAACAATTTGAACTTAATTTGCTTTAATCAATAATACGAGAACTTTTTTTATCTTACTTTTATTAACAAATAAAAAATATTAACGTTAACAAAGTTGAATTACTGATTTTGCTTCAATCAAACACATTTGTAAAAAACTGTATGAAAATAATTAAAATATACATAACCAAAATAGAAATAAAAATAAAGATTGTATTTATTGATTCTGACTCGTCTGCATTATATGTTGTCCACGTTTTCTTAACTGTTGAATTGTTAGAATTGAAATTAGAAAATGTATCAAAATCATCATCCATCTGATCATTTTCAAAAGGTGCTGCAAAACTCCTAGCAGTTATCCAGACTGTTATTAAAATGATCGCAATATTTAAACTAGAAAAAAAACAATTTAAAAGTTATTAAAGAAAATTCAGAAAAAAAAAGATTTTTTTTTTGATATTTAAAAATGTTTCAATTATTCAAACTACACACCTTGACATCCTTCAAAAAATACAAACTTATTTTTAAGCACAACCGTTTCCTTCAAGATAACAAATTTAAATGTGATTCAACAGGTTTTATGTGAAAACAGTAAATTGTTAATGAAATCAAGAGCACGACAAGATCAAGGTCAGTGTTACGATTTGTGCAACAAAACCAAAATCAGTGCGCATATTCTGCATACATTTCAGTAGTCATTCATTTATGACGTAGATCCAAAATATGATTCTAGCACCCCTCCCTTCCCAACCTCCCTCCTGCTCTATCATGTCAAAAAATATTTCATTGTTTGCGTTGTCAACAAATTCTAAACCAATCTCTCTCGTAAATTTTGGACGTCATAAGTAAACGACCCTGTAGACAACCCGAAAATTGTAACTGTTTAATTTAAATTTGAACGACAAAACAGAAAATTTCATGTCAAAGTCAAACTTTTTCCTAAATTTAGAATATTGCCATTTTTAAAACTATTAATCTATGGATTCATAAAAAACTTTGACTTTTTTATTTGTCAAAAAATCTGTTGTTTTAAAAATGATGAAAATATTGGACGTATTTGCCAATAGCATCAGCCATGAAAGTACCAATTAAAATGAATGCAATCAACACAATGCATGTAAAACAGTTACAATAGTATTATTGCCTAACCGAACTCAAATAATCTGCTTAAAAAACCAATTGAAAAATAATTTTTAGCGCATTTTTGAAAACTTGTTTTTGAAAAGGAAGCTAAATAATACACTTTGTTCGTTCGTTCGTTCGTCTGAAGAAAAACTTTTTAACCAGACATCGTAGAGAGCTCAGGTTTATTTTATTAGCTCCGTTCCTATTGTTTATTGTCCGATCGAACAGTTAAAAGTCTTGAAACAGTGTATTTATGCTATAATTAATGAATTTTTGTTTTGTTTTCAGTGTAACCTGCTCAAATTTTATTTTACCTCTATAATTTCAAATTTTTTCTAACCGTTGTAAAATTTAAATTTCAAAAAACCGTTAAATGATAATTTTTTTTTGAATGGAAATTCATTGGAACAAATTATTTAATTATACTATAATTAATGTTTTCGTAGTGCAACTTTTAGCGACAAAATTTCAAATCATTTATTGACCGTTAAATAATAAATCCTTTCTATATAAGCATTCATTGTAATTATTTGTTAATTACACTAAAATTAATGATCTTCTAATATTCTCATGATCTGTAAATGAACGCAAAATAATTACATAATCAAATACTGATCGCTAACACAAAAATGCGCTTAAGTCCCTCGATCAATAACACGAGGACTTCTGTAATTTTTTTATTTCAATATACTCAAAACTGCCTTTAGTCATTCACATATCAATTTATTTAATTTAATATTCTATTTGCAACCATTTAACATCACAAAAGAAGGAGAAAAAATATTACAATCCCGCCAATTCAATCAAATTAAGTCCTCTTTTTTTATTCTTTTCCTTTTGACTAAAAAGCTGATTGAATTGAATGACTGTATGCTAACAAATATCCAGGAATCAACTTGTAGCTCTTTTTTTATTTTATATTGCATTTGCTGTTAGTTGCTGTATATCCAATCTGACCATCTTCTTTGTTTTTCAAGCAGCTGATTCTAAACATCAATAGGATTTTGTCAAAACTAAGAAATGTCCTTTATTCATCTAGACAAGTAAAAACTGAGTTTAGTATGAATCAGAGTGTTTTGTAAGGCACAAAATATCATATGACATGCATTATAAATTGAAAATAATCCATTTATGTGGAAATAAAAAGCATTGCGAGGATGTAAACATTTTCATCTCGTCTTCAATTCTTTAGCAATGAACAAATATTCAAGTGATTTGATGTATTTTTGTAAAAAGATTATAAAGTTTGTTGTCAATACTTGATTTACTGTAGTTATGTCTCTGATTCTGATTCAGGACTGTATATTTACATTATGTATAATGCAATATTACAGCATTGTATACATTGTAGTTTCACAAAAGGAAGTCAACCAATAATTATCAAAAAAAGATAATGCATGGGAAGGACCCAGTTTTTTGAGCTGGAGGCAATGCGATTTAAATTAATTTAAGTTAACATTAGAATCTGAACCCGTGGCAAGCTCTGCACATTGCAAAGACACGAGTACGTCATAAGACCTGATGTACCCTGCAATTTACCTAGTCACAATTCGTGTGCGCAAGAAGCCGTAAGGAAGTCATCCAGATGCTAGTATATCCTTGTATACCTAGCAAAACGAGGCATATTCTATGCCAAAGACATTAATACTTCACCCAACACACAATAACATCCTTTACATGAAAGTTAAACAGAAATCAGGATGAGAGAAAATATCTGTGTGAACTTATGGTGACCATCTGCATAGTATTTAGACGGAAACTAAATTATTTTCATCGCTGTCCTAAATTTATTTTTAAAACATTGTTCCTGGTCCTGTATTCAAAAATAATAAAATTCTTCATAATATCCGTAATGGTTTTTTTTTTAAATTTCAATCTGTGTCTTATATTTTTTATTTTTTTTTACAAATGTTCTTCTTTGACAAAAACTTAATGGTCACGCTAGTCAAATTAAGAGAGGAAAAAATTTTACACTCAGAATTTTTCTCCACATGCGAAAATGTTCTCTTACATAATTTTTAACTAAGTGAATGTTCAGTTCATCGTGTGACTTTCAACTTTTCGGACAGAAAAATTTGAATTGTGCGTGAATATTGATAGATTTGATTTGTGGATAGCTTGAACAGTGTATGAACATATTTTTATCTCATTAATAATTTTTAATCGAAAAAAGTGTACAGAATCTTAAAACAATTTAGTATGCCTATACAAAGAAGTTAAGTTTAATTAATTTTTTTAAACTTCTTTTCCTTGCCTTATTTCAGCTTTCTCTGATTCCATTTTGGTTACGTTTAGACCAAGCCACATATTTGAGGTCGTTTACAAACTACGTCACTTAAGAAAAGAAAAAAAAACATTCCAAACGTGTTTCCTACCCTTATCCACCCCCCCCCCCCCTCCCCTCCCCGCTCACAAGCAGCATAAAAAGACAATTGCTTCTTTAAGTGCACTATTTTAGAGTGAAAAACTGAAAAATAAAAATTAACTCAAAAAATGGCATTTCAGCCAGTTTGCTCAAATTGCATCTTATTTGATGGAGAGGCAATGGTTTTAACAGCATGTGATCATGTGTTGCATAGGAAATGTTTTGCAAAAATGAACAAAAAAATCTGTTCAGTATGTAATCTTAGTATAGACATATCGGATCTAAGAAAATTAGACATAACAAAAAATCCCGTCGAAATTAAGACACAGTGCTCTAAAAAGTATCGAGATATGAAGAAAAAGATAGCATTTTATAAGTTTAAGAATGATATCCTGCAGAATGATCGAGACGAAGTCATGAAAAAATGGCGTAATGAAGCAATGAACGCTAAAAAACAAGTTGAAGAATGTAAGAAAGTCTATAACCTTGTTCAAGAAAAATTACAACTTCAATATGCAAATCTCAATACTATATATGTTCATAAAACTATTGCATTCGACTTACTGTGTGAGTTATATACCAAAGAGACAAAGAATTCAATTCCTTCGAATCTGCATGTGCTTTGGAATGATGATGCTCATTATGACACCACATGGGAAACATACAACAGTGAAATTAAAAATATATTGATGAGAGCCAGTCAAGAAATCAGAAATAAAATCAACAATCCGATTTCATGCAGCATCTACGCGAATGATACTGTTGCAGACGCATTTAATTGTGCAGCAGAAAATGCGGTCCTCAATCAAATGCAGTCTAATATAAGTACAGCAAATGACCAGACCATAAATTGGACACCATCGCCAATTCCGGAAGAAATACTTCATGAGCTCGTTTCATCGGATGACAATGATCAAGCAGATCAAAGTACATCAGAATCAGATTAAAATATAAGTTTACTTAATTTTTTATATTAATAACTCATTCATAGGATTTTGAATTAATTTTTATCATTTTAATTTCATATTTTACTTTTGAATTTACTTAACATTAAATTATCTTTTACTTGTTTATATTTCACTTGTCATTGTTAAATCGAGCTACCAACAATCATCGGAAGTGAGCAACAAGTCTAAAATATAATATATTATGTTATGTTTTTAGAGAGGAGGGGGATGGGGATTTTAGAGTTTGTGACAATTTGTGATGGAAAGGAGTCTAATCATTCAGTTATTTTTGTTACGTAATAAGTGAACAATCATTTTACTTAACTTAATTTTTGCTAGAAATAAAAAAACCTTTGGTTCGCTTTGTTTTTTTTGTATATTTTTATTTTAAACTTCAGCATTTTGTTAATTTCAATTATTTATGAAAACTTAAAATTTCAGAAAAAAAACATCGTTTTTCAGATAAAACTGGAATTTATTTAATAAATCAAAAATTCATTTCGTATTTCTTTTACTTAAATGTTGGACATCATGAAATTATGACTGCTAATTGAAATAAATATACAGTTTCATAGCGGTGAAATGGCATCAGTTGCCTAAATGGTAGAGCGTTGGCCTTCCGTGCCAAAAGTCCTGGATTCAATCCCAGGCCATGTCTAATTTTCGAAGCTCTTTTTCCATTTCACCCTTTTCTAGTTACGAAGCTTGTTTCGTGTGTTGGGTGTAGTATTAATGTATTTGGCATAGAATATGCCTCCTTTGCTTGGTATACTAGGATACACTAGCATCTGGTGACTAGGTTTATTTCAGGGTACATCTGGTCGATTGACGTATTCGTGCCTTTGCAATGTGCAGAGCTTGCCACGGGTTCAGATTCTAATGTTAACTTAAATTAATTTAAATCGCATTTCCTCCAGCTCAAAAAACTGGGTCCTTCTCATGCATTAACTTTTTATGATAATTATTGGTTGACTTCCTTTTGTAAAACTAGAATGTATGCAATGCTGTAATATTGCATTATACATAATGTAAATATACAGTCCTGAATCAGAATCAGAGACATAACTACAGTAAATCAAGTATTGACAACAAACTTTATAATCTTTTTACAAAAATACATCAAATCACTTGAATATTTGTTCATTGCTAAAGAATTGAAGACGAGATGAAAATGTTTACATCCTCGCAATGCTTTTTATTTCCACATAAATGGATTATTTTCAATTTATAATGCATGTCATATGATATTTTGTGCCTTACAAAACACTCTGATTCATACTAAACTCACTTTTTACTTGTCTAGATGAATAAAGGACATTTGTTAGTTTTTACAAAATCCTATTGATGTTTAGAATCAGCTGCTTGAAAAACAAAGAAGATGGTCAGATTGGATATACAGCAACTAACAGCAAATGCAATATAAAATAAAAAAAGAGCTACAAGTTGATTCCTGGATATTGGTTAGCATACAGTCATTCAATTCAATCAGCTTTTTAGTCAAAAGGAAAAGAATAAAAAAAGAGGACTTAATTTGATTGAATTGGCGGGATTGTAATATTTTTTCTCCTTCTTTTGTGATGTTAAATGGTTGCAAATAGAATATTAAATTAAATAAATTGATATGTGAATGACTAAAGGCAGTTTTGAGTATATTGAAATAAAAAAATTACAGAAGTCCTCGTGTTATTGATCGAGAGACTTAAGCGCATTTTTGTGTTAGCGATCAGTATTTGATTATGTAATTATTTTGCGTTCATATACAGATCATGAGAATATTAGAAGATCATTAATTTTAGTGTAATTAACAAATAATTACAATGAATGCTTATATAGAAAGGATTTATTATTTAACGGTCAATAAATGATTTGAAATTTTGTCGCTAAAAGTTGCACTACGAAAACATTAATTATAGTATAATTAAATAATTTGTTCCAATGAATTTCCATACAAAAAAAGTTTATCATTTAACGGTTTTTTGAAATTTAAATTTTACAACGGTTGGAAAAAATTTGAAATTATAGAGGTAAAATAAAATTTGAGCAGGTTACACTGAAAACAAAACAAAAATTCATTAATTATAGCATAAATACACTGTTTCAAGACTTTTAACTGTTCGATCGGACAATAAACAATAGGAACGGAGCTAATAAAACAAACCTGAGCTCTCTACGATGTCTGGTTAAAAAGTTTTTCTTCAGACGAACGAACGAACGAACAAAGTGTATTATTTAGCTTCCTTTTCAAAAACAAGTTTTCAAAAATGCGCTAAAAATTATTTTTCAATTGGTTTTTTAAGCAGATTATTTGAGTTCGGTTAGGCAATAATACTATTGTAACTGTTTTACATGCATTGTGTTGATTGCATTCATTTTAATTGGTACTTTCATGGCTGATGCTATTGGCAAATACGTCCAATATTTTCATCATTTTTAAAACAACAGATTTTTTGACAAATAAAAAAGTCAAAGTTTTTTATGAATCCATAGATTAATAGTTTTAAAAATGGCAATATTCTAAATTTAGGAAAAAGTTTGACTTTGACATGAAATTTTCTGTTTTGTCGTTCAAATTTAAATTAAACAGTTACAATTTTCGGGTTGTCTACAGGGTCGTTTACTTATGACGTCCAAAATTTACGAGAGAGATTGGTTTAGAATTTGTTGACAACGCAAACAATGAAATATTTTTTGACATGATAGAGCAGGAGGGAGGTTGGGAAGGGAGGGGTGCTAGAATCATATTTTGGATCTACGTCATAAATGAATGACTACTGAAATGTATGCAGAATATGCGCACTGATTTTGGTTTTGTTGCACAAATCGTAACACTGACCTTGATCTTGTCGTGCTCTTGATTTCATTAACAATTTACTGTTTTCACATAAAACCTGTTGAATCACATTTAAATTTGTTATCTTGAAGGAAACGGTTGTGCTTAAAAATAAGTTTGTATTTTTTGAAGGATGTCAAGGTGTGTAGTTTGAATAATTGAAACATTTTTAAATATCAAAAAAAAAATCTTTTTTTTTCTGAATTTTCTTTAATAACTTTTAAATTGTTTTTTTTCTAGTTTAAATATTGCGATCATTTTAATAACAGTCTGGATAACTGCTAGGAGTTTTGCAGCACCTTTTGAAAATGATCAGATGGATGATGATTTTGATACATTTTCTAATTTCAATTCTAACAATTCAACAGTTAAGAAAACGTGGACAACATATAATGCAGACGAGTCAGAATCAATAAATACAATCTTTATTTTTATTTCTATTTTGGTTATGTATATTTTAATTATTTTCATACATTTTTTTACAAATGTGTTTGATTGAAGCAAAATCAGTAATTCAACTTTGTTAACGTTAATATTTTTTATTTGTTAATAAAAGTAAGATAAAAAAAGTTCTCGTATTATTGATTAAAGCAAATTAAGTTCAAATTGTTAAATTTTATACATTTTAATTAACATAATTTAAAATAATTAATTAAAGTGAGTAACAATTGTTCAAATGTGATTTGAACGATAAAAACGCTCCACGCTTTTACTTTTAGTCATAAAATTTTGTATCAAATTTGAGTTCTCAGAAAAAAATTATTTTCTCATTTTTAGTGCACTGGAATCGGAAATAAAAGCGTGCTTTTTTAAAAAAGTTTTTTTTTATAGTATTTTACAGAGGTCGAAGCGAGCATAGCGAAGCGAGTTTTTAGCGAGTTCGCTTCGCTAAAAATTCAACTTGCTAAAGTCGACCTGTAGCGAGAAATTTTTTTTTCTTTTCGCCTTAGCGACCTATAGCGAACTCAATTTTATTTTTTTCGCTTTAGCGAACTATTAGCGAACTTAATTTTTCAAAGTTCGCTATAGCGAAAAAGTTTGGCAAGTTGAATTTTTAGCGAAGCGAACTTGGCGAACCAAGTTCGCTTCGACCTCTGGTATTTTATTGTCTACTTTTTAGTCTTATCAAATCTGTAAATCGATTCAACTTCCAAAATTTGGAGCTTTTGTTTTATTACAACACTGACTTTATCAGACTTAATGAGGAGGTTACAGTTTTTAGATTACATGAAGTGTTAGTCTTCACTTCGTTTAACTCCGCTTCGATCAATTGTTCATAAATTACAGTAGGTTTATAGGTTACAGGTGTGTTAAACTCGAATTCGTTGCACTTCGTTTCGTTCAACTATTTAAAGATTACCAGTTTTAAATGGGTAATTTGTAAAGACTATCAAAATTTTTTATTCGTTTTAAATTATTTAAGTCATACCTGAAAACACACGAAACTCTTTTAAAAATGTCCTTACTTCAATTAAAGATTTTGTATATATCCGTACCATTCCTACTACATAACATGTAGATTTTTAACATAAAGATGCAAGTCACATCTATATGTAACGAATTTAAAACGGATTTTCAAATTTAAATTCAATGAATTTCATTCATATGTTATGCAAAAATACGTCAAGCCGTTAATAAATAGAAAAGTCAATTTAATTAAATTGGTGAAGTGTTATAAATAATGTAATACATTAAAAACAGCATAAATATATGCTCAAACCATGTGTGCTAAATGCATATCTCATATTTATAGTTATTTTGCATTAATTCGTAACGGACTTGTGCTTAACGGTTTTTTTGAAAAAACAAATTTTTACTCACGAATATTCATGAAAAAATTACTTGTCAATTTTTTTTGTCCTACCAGAATATTTTTAGCTGCTCAAATTTATAGTATAATTAATAATTAGTAATATTAATTAAACTATAATGAATCACATAAACGACTTTTGAGCATTTCTAGTATAATATTTTAAACAAATCAAAAGTTTATGTCATTGACATTGGATTTTTTCCCATATAAAAAAGTTTTACTTAAATTTTACTATAATTAAGCATTTTTGTGGTCCCAAAGTGTTAAAATAATGTATTGTCACCGAGAATACGTATACAAAAAAAATTTGAGCTCGAATGGAGCAGTAGAAGTGATCGAAAAATCAATTACAAGATT